CCCACTGGCTAAAGTCCAATGGGCGCACATGTGATTCCCAGCTTTTCCTTCGCCTCGCCTTGATTTGTCTTGCCAGTTGGCGTGCCCGAGTCAATTACATTATTTCAACTGTGCTGCATGACATGATTTCCACCTCTCCTCCTGATTTCCCTCCCGCAGGAAAAAGGAGGCGGGGGAGGCGACTGGGAAATTGTGAAAAGTTGCAGGAGGCAAACAACTTAAATGGAAATATCGCAGGGGCAAGGGTCATGCATATATTGGTTCAATGATACGAAAATCTGTGAAGGTTACGGAGGTATAATTTGTTTAAAGGAGGTTGCTGAAATTGGTGAGGTGGTACAAATTGTATTTCAAACAGTTGACATTACTATCCGAATGCAATATGATTAACTGCCATTACAGGTTACCCAGTAAAAGGTTAAATGTGACTGTATTGATTGGATTAAGGAAACTATTTAGATATATTTAACTATGCAAGTTTTATCCCCTTTTGGGGAGTTAAACTTAATTATAGATCATAAATTAAAAAAAATTAAAAGCAATTCCTTATTATTAAGTAATAAATTCCAATTTCTCTGCCTCCTACTTAGGGTATTTTCCATTCGTTGATAGAAAGCATAGCCATATATTTGGGATTTGTTGGGCTCTCGGCGCAACTGACTCCCTTCGCCACCCGTTCTCATTTGGGCCAGAAAATGCTGGCAGCAAGTTTGTTTACGCTACACGCTCAATCCGCCAAACTGTTGCATAATAAATGCGAAATTGTCGCCCACATGCCAAGGCCTCTGCCGAGCTGGGCAGGTTCCAAAAAAAAAACTAATATAAGGAAAACAAAAAAATATACACAAAATACTTGGCTTTTGTTGGCGTCGTGGGGCATGTAAAACTACAGGAGCTCCAGTAGCATTGGAAGTAGCATTGGCATTACATTGCCGGAGTGCCAACGAATCCAACTGGGTTGCGCTTGGCACGGACCGAAACCGAAAATGAACATTCCATTCCATGCATTAAGTATACGCCGTGTGTGCCCGCTGTATGGGCAGGTTGTTGGCATTGTCCTTTGCCTTCTGATCCCTGGCCCTCGAGAAAAACAAGCCGAAAAATCCCCCGAAAACAGTGCCAGCCGGGAAGCGGTCCGCGATTTGTGTATCTTCAAGTCAGCTTCGGCCAAATATTTGCTGTTTATATTTATATTTATATTTACTTCGGATGCGTCATAGGCGAGGCCTAACCTCGAGTCTGTCGCCGCATAGCGTTCCAATCATTGGCTATTAGCCGCCCGATTCCGAATCCGATTCTCGGCTTGGTTCGCCCCTGACGTCAGCGAGATTAATTTCCCGCAGGCCCATTGTTAACGGAAAATTGCAGCAATTTTCCTGGCATTATCTGCGACTAAATTGTGTCGAATTGTCGCACAGGCCCCAAAATACTAATTATAATCTGCAGTAGTCAGCTCGTTGTTCTTCTCCTCTAATCCAAAGTGAATGCATTTATATAATGGCGTTTGCTGGGGCATTAAATGAATGGTCAAATACCCTGACAATGGCCGCCATTCGCTTGTCGTGCCTGGCCAGCTCCGATGACCCCAATAAGCTGGCCGACTGGCCGAACAATAACTCCAATATTATGCGGACTGGCTGGGGGGAAATTACATTTCTATTAGGGAAATTCCACAAACAAGTGTATGTTTATGTGTACACATATTGTATGGCGGCAAATGCTAAAACGCTTATTAATAATTGTCAGTTGGTGCTGGAATGGGCGTGCACAGTGGGTCAGAATATATCCGGCAATGGAAATAAATTCAAAAGAATAACCCATCATTCTTATCATTATTTCGAGTTGCGGAACTTACAAAATGTATGAACGAAGAAATTGTTTTCGAACCAATTGGCATATTCTGATTAAAACTATTTTAAACATTTATGGAATGTTTAAAGAATTTCAGTGCTTGCGTTTGAAGCTGAATCAGTTGAAGTATCAATAACTCAAGTACTCTATCTTACTTCTGAACTTAATAAATTTCAATAGCATTTTTAGGGTTCCTTAACGGAGAGATTGTTAAGTCAATATATGGAATGCCGTTGAGAACTGTCTGTTAATATTTAACAGCCTATTTAAAACTTAAGGCGCAACTTCAAGGACTTTCCCCAGTCTGTGGGATTTAGGGCGAACTACGAAGCGATTATATGACCCATCGTGATTCTCCTGGGCAATTGCAATATCGCTTGATAATTGAGCTGCGCTGGACATTGTGCTGGCAATTAAGCGCTGGCCCCAAAGGAATCCTTGCGGTCCTTGCAGCTGATGGCTGACGGGCGGGAAACTCGTCGGGAAAACTGCAGTCATATTTGATATTCAGGGCACAGAAACCCGGAGAAAAGGAAAAGCCTCTTTTGGGGGTCCGGCTCCTGGGCTCAATCAAATGCTTCGCCACTCGTTTATTTATGTATTTTCGCATAAATTTCTAATGCATTCGCAGCCGATGTTGCAGCACGTACAAAGTTGTGGAGAAATGGGTGGAAAATGTTTGGAAAATGGGGCCGTTTGGTGGGGGGCTCGAGGTAAATGTTGTCAGAGAATAAACCTGTCACTGAATGAACTTTACGAAGCTCGCTATTAAACCGAAATCATAAATAATTAGTGGTACGGCTATATGGTCGCCCTCTACAAAGCTGAGAAGTGGAAGTTGCACAAGCTCGGCTCTTGAAGGTTATTCCACTTTTCTTTTTATGTTTTTTTTTTTATTTTGTGAGTGTGTGCGCGTGTCTCTTTGTAATTGCTTGTGTATTTGTGTTTATATTCACCCTCTCGTAATAAAAGAACGCTTTTTGCTTGCCACAAGTAAAATCAAAATACTGGTTATTGTATAATCAAGACCTTGTTTTGTCTGCTTCTTTTCGCTTCGCTTCTTTTCTATATAATTCTTCGTTTTTTTGAAAATGCACACACAACTTTTTCGAAATGAAAACACCAAAAGACAACACACACACACAGACGCCAGCGTGGGCAAACACTCACAGATACTGCGTACACACACAGATACTCCGTACACCGTTAAGCGGGCGAGGGGGCGGTGGGCGGAGGGCGGTGGGAGTGAGATAAAAGAAAACGCGGTAGTTGGTCGACGGTGGTAGGCGCGGCGGTTATTCAGGTAAAACTCTCTGTCAGAGTGGGTGTGTGTGTGAGTGAGTGTGATTGCCTGACTGCGCCTGTGTGTGTGAGTGTATATTTGCAATCAAAACTACACGGGCTTTACGCACTCGGTTCGTCGATCAATGAATAAAACTCCAACTCCAGGTATCAGCTTTTATCACCTTGCTCGCCCGTTTCGCTCAGTGTTCTCTGCGTTCGATTTCAACTGCGATGTAAGTGTGCGGGTGTGTGTGCTGTGTCCGTGTGTGTGTTTCTGGTGTGTTGCAAGCTTCAATTTCTCGGCTCAAATCACTTCTTCTCGGCCACCGCTCGTCTGAAAACCGCGTTCGACACTGAAGTTGCAGAAAGCTTTCGGCTGAGCTTTAAACTTTCGGCCACTTCCGAGCAGTGTGGCTAAATCGAAATAGACAAAATGGGCTACTTTTTCAACAAGTATTTTTAAAATATATTTGAAAAACTTAAGAAGCAATTAACTTGTAAATTCACCCCTATTTCAAACTTATCCCAATTAATTCTGATCCCTATTCGAAAGAACTAAGAATAAATTCAACTACAGAAAAACATTGATATTTTACAAACACATTTCTATTTTGTTTAAATAAAAGGCGAAAGGAAAAAATGTTTATGTTAAAAATACCAAAAATGTAAAATACCTATGTTTATTAGGGCGGTCAAATATATAAAATCTTATTTTCACCCCTCCTCATGGTATATTAAAATAAGCAAAACATGCATTTTGAAACAAAAAATTTGTTTCGGTATTTAGACCTTGCGAAAAGTTTGCTTAAAAATTACTCATACGACACGTATAACAGTTCTAGTCATGTCAAATTATGTACATTGTACATGTAAAATTACTGTAGTTTAACCGACATCTGACACAAGCTAACAGCTTGAAAATTTAAAGCTTTCGAAAAGCTGTGCAAACGGCATGGCGCGTATACTTGATTTTTAAAGAACCGAAAAGGCAGCTTCAAAATCCTAGTGCCCTATATTCCCGCAGAAGTTTTTCTACTTTCTAAATAGATCTGAAATGCGTATTTTGGCTGACAGCACAAGCAAATTAGCTAGCAAAATATTTCCTAACCATTTGTTTTAGTCCAAGCAAGTGTTCAAGTGGCTCTTATTGGTATTGGCTCATCTGCATAGACTTGTTATCTATTTTTGGCTCGCTTAGTATCTTCTCAGGCACGCGAAAAACTCTTTGGGCCATTAACGAGCTAATCAAAATGCATAAATCACCAATATACAAGATTCCGACTACAAAGTCGCTGCCGCATGGCTATCCATTCACCTGGCCAAAGTGTATGTATTTGTCATATTTCCCACTTATCAACAACTTCATGGACCTGCTCCGGGTCATATAACACGAATGCTAGAGACGCTAGACGGCTGCATTTGGTAAAAAAATTATACAATTACCCGAAAACACATGCGAATTAAATTGTACAAAAAGTGAAACCAGCAAAAGAAGCGAAAGCCAACCGGCTGCAGAGGAAAATGAAGATGAAGTTGTAGCTCCAGCTGAAGTCGAGGTTGAGGCTGTCTTAAGTCGGAGTCCCGTCCCGTCCCACTCCCAAGATGCATTTCGGCAGGTCCCCATTCCCATCCCCAACTCCGCTCGCTCATAATCGGCAGATGTTAGCCATAAAATTGGAAAGGAGGAAACAGTTGACCATTCCATTCCATTGGCCAACTGGTTATGGCTATGGATGGCGAATCTGCCAACGAACTTCTCGAACTCGAACTCAAAACCCCCATGTCCAAAACCGAGAGTGATAAATGCTCGAGCGGATTTATATTTTTTGTTTTTGTATATTTTTTTGTATTTTTCGCTGGTTTTATACTTTTTAGGTATTTTTGTTTGTTTTTATTGAAATTCCTTAGATCGCAAGAAGCGCACAGAAGTAATATGTATGGTAATTGTTGTATATGGTATAGATATAGATACATTATTAATATTATCAATTATATATATAATGTAATATGTAAGTAATATTTATATATTGTTGTGTGTGGGTGTGTGGTGTATGTATGTGTGGTGTCTGCTTGTGGTGTATGTGTGTGTTTGTTGGTATAATAATTAGATATACGTAATTAAGTATATATATTATATACAAATCTCAATGGATTGTTGATTGATTTGCTTGAATTTACAATTATATCTGGTATCTGTATCTTGTATCTTGTATCTTTATCTGTATATGTAGATGTATAAATTTAAGATTACACGCTAGAGATATTTCAAAAAATGTCCACTTCTCTACAGGCTTATCCAACTAACATACAGCTAAATAATATATATGTGTATATATCTATATATTTTATTGTATTGTATTGTATTGTATTTTATGTAAAAACACAATCCGCCCAGCCCAGGCATTAGCTATGGGACCCAAATAAAAAATAAACCTTTTTCATGCAGCTGGTAAAACCAAAGAATTCTGACTGATCAGATGGACTTCAATTCTTTTTCTTGTTAATTTTGTGTTTTTGGTTTAGATTTTGATTCAGTTTTAGAGTTTCGGTTTCAGTTTCAGTATCAGGTTAACTCGTTTTAAAGTTTGCACTAAGTAAAATGTTTTGCAGATTGCAAATTGGAATACGTTGGCTTTGGACCTTGTCGAATATGCATATAGATAATCTGGATATATACACATACATACAGCGTACATCGTACATTATGTCACAATGTTTAAACTAAAGTTAATACATAAATTCAAAACACAAGTTCAAGGTTAACATTATACAAAAGTGTGTAATTGGTAGACAATTCTCAAAGTTATCAAAGAATGCACACGGAGAGGAAACATCGTAGACTTAATCATTCATCGTCATCAACACATCTTCGATTCATTTTGTATTGTGGACCATTTGTCTTTCATTTGTTGTGGATATAAATATATATTTATGGTTGCATATAAGTATATATTCCTTAGTCGCTTTTTGTATTTTGCTGCAATTGCAAACAAGAGACTTACACATAAAGCAGACATTTCTTGATGGATGTTTTCGTTTCGAACTATAAATATTTGTTGTTTAGAGCATATTTATGTTTTAAATTTATATCATTTAATCATTCATAAATTATCACCCAGCTGGATTTAACAATTCAATCAATCAATCATTCACATATGTTGCTGTTGCCTGACACACCGAAAATATTCTACAAAATATGACATTTCTCATTCTTTTCGTTTAGAGATTTTGTTTTTCAGTTTTCTACACATTACTTTAAATTTAATTTCTTTTTTTGTTTTGTGAATTGAATTTCATTGAGCAACTTCTGATAAACTAGACAAATATATCCTTTACACGTCCGAATCCTCATCTTCCTCATCCACAGTTTAATTTGACTAATATTTACATATCATCGCTTTAATTTATCATTTCAGCCTGCAATTAGATTGTTGCTTGGAATTTCTAGACTGGAACCCAACACTCCGCCTTCGTCTGCTGCACTTGGCATACAAAAAGGTCAATCCGTAATTAACAGGCTATATCATATGCATACGGTTTTTGTTTTTTAGGTTTTGTGTGTCTGTTTGTTTATTAAAAAATACAATGGTTGATGTGGGGGGACATGTGGGTTTGCAAATCCAAAATTAAGACATTACTGCTTCAGGTAGGTTTTTAGGTTTGTTTATTACAAAAAAAAAATGAAGAAAGTTGAAAAAGATGAAAACGATTTTCGACCTAGCAAACAGAATAAATTTTGGCTTTACATTATTTTTTTTTTTTTAATAATTTTTTTGTCTTTTTTTTAAGTTTTACAAATTAAAATTTAGTTATCGTAGGCAAAGAAAGTTACACAATCAACGCGGATGTTGCAAGTTGTGTGCAAAAGGATTAATATAGCCAAATTATTGATTATTCGCAATCGTTTTCGTCCTTTTTCAGGGGGTCAGTGATATTTTGGCGGTGTCTCGGTTCAACATCTAACAGCGGCTGAAGTTCAGTCTGCGGTTCAAACTCTCGGGATAGTTATATTATTAAAGTAGGAGCGCGTGTGCTTGTGTGTGCCAAGTGTCGTGGAAGGGCTTTACAGTCGCCGGTCACATTGAATTAGAGATATAGAAAAGGAACAGTGAATAGACCTCTGATCGTACAGTTAACGTTAAGAAAGAAGCCAACCGAATTAATAATGAATCAACGGTAATAGTAAAGTCGAGCAAACAAGTGGTTCTCCTCCACATCCTAGACAATCTGATGATTATGCTGCTGCTGCTGCTCCTGTTGCTGTTCGGTAACATTGAGGTAGGAGTCCTCGCCGAGCAGAAACAAACTGGGTGCCGAGCCGTCGTGCGGATAGAAGTAGGCAAACTGTCCGCTGTACGTGCCCGCGGCCGATCGTCCTCCGTCTTCCAGCTGGCTGTATACGGGCAGTCCGTTGATCTGCTGAGGTGTCAGCACCAAGCTGCCCGTGACTCCTGCGACTGCTCCTGTTGACGCTGCTGCCTTTTGTTTGGTCCTGCTGCTCTTCTTTGTTGTCATGGTTGCTGTTTCTGCTGCTGCTGCTACTGTCTGCTTACTTTGAGTCTTGGCCTTGTTCTTCTTTTTCTTGCTGCTGCTGCTGCTGATGGTCGTGGGTCTAATCTGATTTTGGACTTGGTTTCCGGGTGCTGTTGGTGACGGTGATGATGGTGGTTGAGATGGTGGTGCTATCGGTGCTGTTTCTAGTGGTGGTTCAGTTTCAGTTTCAGCCAAGAGCGTCGATCCCAATGCATTCTCTGACCACTGTTGCTGTTGGAACTGTTGCTGCTGATGCTGCTCCTGCTGCTGCCCCAATCACGTGCTCAGCCAGGTGGAGTTGCACGTGCAGATGGTGCTGGGGATCACAGGTGCATAGTAGACGCCGTTGGCGTAGATGAGTCCCGGCGGGCCGGTCTGGATCTGTATGGCCTGTGGAGCTGCCGACGCCGTCTGATCCGCGCTGCTCGTGCAGCACACGGCGGCTGGGGCGGCCTGTTGCACATAGATGGCCTGCGCCTGGCCCGTCGGCGGTGCCTGTGAGACCAGGGTCAAGGTGGCCGCCTGCTGCGGCTGCTGCTGTTGCGTCTGTGTCTGCTGCTGCTGCTGTTGCTGTTGCTGCTGCGCTGGGTCCAGGAACTGATGCTGACGTTGCTGCTGTTGCTGGTGTTGCTGATGCTGCTGATGCTGCTGCTGTTGCTGCTGATGTTGCTGCTGTTGCTGCTGGTACTGCTCCTGCTGCTGCTTCTCCTGCTTGTTGTAGAGCACCTGGGCGGCCAGCGACTGGATAAGGTGGAGCGTCTGGCGCCGCTCGTGGCCCATCAGACAGACTGTCGACATCTCGACCACCTCGCGTAAATGCATCAGGTACTGATACTGCAGCGGTTCCTCATCGACGCCCCAGAAATGGTTACGCAAGTAGGCCTCCAGCTTGGTGGTCTGCGTATTGATGTCCGGGAAATCGATGAAGAAGCGCGAGCACATGTAGCGCTCCAGGGTCTTGATGAGCTGCGAGTCGACGGCCTTGTAGTTGCGCACCAGTAGATTGCAGTACTTGAGCAGGCCGCCGCCTCGTATCTCCTCCGGCTGACGCGTTGAGATCAGTTTCTTTTGCAAGTGGTAGAGTGCCTCCTGGAAGTCCCCGTAGACCGACTCGCCGACCACCGTCGGATAGAAGTTCTCCGAAATGGGCAGAGCGGCGCAGTCGTAGAAGAGCAGCAGCGAGTCGAGCACAATCTGGAACGAGTCCACCGAGAACTCGAACTGGCGCCGCATCGAGTCGACGAACTTCAGCTCGACGTTCTTGTGGCCCGGCGAGTTGCCCAGCGAGATGAGCGACCAGCGGTCGCCGTCGTTGTTGTTGTTCACCTTGACCATCTTGCCCACATAGGCCTCCTTCAGGGAGCACGTGTAGATGCGGCGCTTGCAGACGCCCTCGGGCATCAGGTCGAGTAGGGTATTGAGCACCGCCACCTTGACGCGATCGAAGACGCGCGGCGAACTGAGCTCGATGGCGAATATCAGGTCCAGGTCATTGTACGGCTGATCCTCGCTGGCTAAAACATGACTAGCTGCCCCGCCATTGAGACGGATGTCCTTAACTAACACCCCGGCGCCGCCGGCGTTCACCTCGGCCTCCAGCTTGCGCCGCACCAGGTTGACCAGATCCTTGAGCGTCACCTCCAGCGTGGGAAAGTTGCCGCGCCCGTGGATGGCCACCTTTTCGTCCATGACGTCGTGCAGCTTGCTCACCTGCTCGAACGAAAGCACGGCCAGCCGCTGCGTCCCGCCGGTGTCGACGCTCTCCAGTGATCCGTGGTCCGATGTCGAGGCGATCGATGACCCGGAACTGGGGGACGGCGGCGGTGTCTCGGTGCCGCCGTCCGAGTGGAATCCATCGTCGATCTGGTAGACGTCCATTCTGTTGCTGCGCTGCTGATGATACAACGGTTCGGCAACGTCTAGTGTCCCGCACTGCAATTAGAATGAAGGTACAGCAAAGTTAGTACAAAATCACAGATTGGAAGGGATCTTAGGTACTACCAATATGCAATTGCTATAGTAAGTAATCTGCTGTTAGTTTCATCCACTAATCTACACTACCATCGTTATTGTTACTGGTATTGTGATGTATGTGGTTGGCTCGCTCTCGAGGCGTTTTTACCAAACCAAATTTTGTATTAGGAATTTTGGGTGGAGGTGGAAATGTCGAGGTCAAACGAACGAATTCTGGTTGGAAAAGCAACTGTTTGATTACATTTCGATGGCCACGTTGTTGGATGTCAACGAGCTGAAATGGTAAACACACAGTTTCGAGGGAGAATCTTACGGAAAACTACATCCAATAACTCCATTTAGTCATTATTTCGCATAAAAAAAATATTTTAAATATTCTACCTATTATTTCAAACGCTTAAACTGAGATGCACCATTTTAATAGAAATTGAATGTCTATTTGTCTACTCTAATTGAATTTCCAACTCCCTTGATTTTAATTAGTTTGCTCTTCAGAACGGTATACCTTATACGCATTCCCCTACTTCTATTTTAACTTTATCATCCCATTCTACCCTGCTTTCTGCGATTGTTTTCATGTCGTTTCATCATCATGATATTGTCACTGTTATTTATTTATTTATTTTTGCCATTTTATCTAGCCAATGCCAAATGCCGCCCGGGGGCTTCTTTTAATTAATTAATTTGCTTTAAATTCGCTAAATTCGACTGTCTCGACGATTGTTGCTGTGTGCGAACGAGCGCAGCCTACGCGTTAAACATTAAATGCTGTGCTATTTATTGCTTATTTTATTTAACTTTGTTCGCGTTCTCGCCCAAACGAGAGGCGACAACAAGAGTTTTTGGCATCGCATCGAATTCGGATCGTATCGGATCTAGACTAGTCGAAAGTTCCGCGTTGTTATCGAGGCGACGTTGGCGTTTCGTTTCCCCAAAAATTCCCTATTCGTTATCCCATTCCCCCGATTTGTTGCCTTCTGTTTTGTGCCACTGTTATACATGGCATGGCTATTATATCGTTTAGCTCTATCTCTTGTATAAGTTTTATCTGCGAGTGTGTGTGAGTTTTGGGTTCTCTTTTTATCATTTTGTTTGTGCGTTCACAAAAAAAATTTAATTTTCTGGCATAACTGGCCGGCGACCACAGAAAATATATATTATGTACTAAAATATAAGAGACGGACGGATAGAACGGAGCGCCGACTAGCGAGGTGGGGTGATGAACGAGTTAAGGAATCGCCATAATACAATTCAAATGGATTCTTGCGCCGAATGATTCACAGTGCGATCGTACAGTCCAAACAACAACTTAGTTAACCCCCGATTTCGACCTGACCTGCCGATTTGCAAAGCCGTCTGCCGCATGCAAATCTATTCGAAGGCCTCTCTACAACCAAATTATATCATTCACACGGCGAAACGAGAAAGAACGCAGAGCAGTGCTGTCGATTTGGCTCGATTTCTCACAGATCTTGATCACTTTCAAAGCTATAATCTCTTTAAAGTGCAATTGTTTAGCTAAAGATTATCTACTTTCAGTTTTTAAGCATTTCAAGAGTTGGGCTGATGCAATAACTTGTAGAAATGGCTTTTATAAAAGATAGATAACGATTTCAGGAGTGTACCCATTCTTGTTAATGTTATAATATTTAAAAGTGTTTCAGTATTATCAGATCATTTACAATTTAATTACTTCTTCAAAGATTTTGAAACCAAAACTTTGCAGTAACAAATTCAAAAAACTGCCAGAGTGCGACTACGAGCGTATTAATTTGTGCTCAGTTTTCGTGTGAATTGGGTAATATAACTAAATTTTTTCTGGGTCCGGGGTCGGTGCAATCCCGCTTTGCATCTTTGCATCTTGAGAACTGCCGCGTGGCTGAGTTCACACTTTTCAAGATGGGGATGGAGAAGTCGGGGGGCGGCGGAGATACACGGGCATTGTTATTCACTCAGTTCCAGTTAAGTTTGCCTTCTTTTTTTGTTTTTGCTCAGCCAAACAATTAGTTATTTATTAATTGCCATTGACGTCGGGCACAAGCACAAATTGCCGCTGTTGCTGCTGTCATGTATTTATTGTAATTGTTTAAACTGCATTTTCATGAGGCGGCAATCGAAATTGCGAAGAATTCGCCCTTGAAGAATTGCAGCCAGGAACTTCAACTCTTCTGGTAGTTTCTCTCCTTTTAAATTAAATTAACACCTTTACGCTAGTTAGTGAAATCAAATCAAATTTGATAATTTTGCTGTTAATTACTTTCTATAGTTTTCGACTGGATCGGGTTTTTGAGTCACAATAAACAAATATTGGCGATTGTTAAGTAAGTTTCTTGCAATCGAAAGAAAACTTTGGCAATATAAAACATATAACTATATTCCTCATAAAATCACAGTTTTTATAAATTAATTACCCTTAACTTAAATATCCGATTTCATTCACACAATTATTCAGATAAGAAAATAATATATGCTATGAGCTTGGAGTATACACTTGATAAAATCAGTTATTATAAATTTAACTTTTCTCGATGAATCAGAACGTAATTTCACAATTATGAATACATTATCCATGTAATTTTTATCGATTTGTTTCCGATTAGTAACCTCAAACTTTGAAGTGCATTATCATTAGCTTATCATTATCGTAACTGTGTTTCAGTGGCTGTGCAGCTGCTTTACCCAAACATGCAAACAGGTGCAATAGTTTCTACGCCAGTGTTCGTGTGTATGTTGGCCTAGACTGGTCTCAAATAAAAGTGAAAATCGTTGTTTTTTGTCTTCTTTCTTTCTCCTCTTTCGCGGCTAAGGAAAGCAGCAAATAGCCCAACAATGGCAGAAAGTCTATTAAAGAAAAAAAAACGAAAATTCGAGCCTACACACACAGAAAAAATCTGCCCGATTTTAATCTAAAATGCGGAGGTCATATATGTATATGTTTAAATTTTTCGCATCTTTTTTGAAATGCTGCTAAAACATAAATAATTATTTTGTCTGCTAAAATACCACTTTTTTACTTTTTTTATGGGAAACCAACTTTTTTAAACCTAATTAGATAGGACGATTAAACTGTCCCAAATTACACATCTACATTGTATTTCTATTCACTCACGAGCTAACTTTTGTGTTACATTTTTTTAACGTACCGAGTTTGAAGTGAGGCTAAAAACAAATATGGATTCCGTGTGGATTTTGTTTTAGCACCGCATCACCATCGAAGAAAAAGGAAAACAAGAGGAGGAGGCGGTGGTGGGTGGCGGATAACGGGGGGTGGGTGGTGCCCACAATTGGCGCCTACTAAACGCGACTAAGCGACTCCGACTTTTTTCGCTGCGATTTCAATTTAATTCGCGTGTTCGAATGTGAAATAAATATCTATTTGCAATTTACACACACACACTTTGTTATTTCTTTTCTTCAACACTCTACACTTTTTATTTCATATGATTTTTAATTTAAATTTCGGCTCTCACACTCTCATTTGCCTTTATTATATTTTTTAATTCGTCGCAGAGAGACAGACGACCGTTAAGTTGCGCGTTCAAAAACGAAATGAAATGGCGTTGACGTCGCCGCCTGCTCTGAAAAATAACTCCAATCTGAATCGCGAACAAGAAACTATATAGAGAACGCGACTGCGACTGCGAGAGCAAAAGTATAATGAAAGCTCTCTCTTAGCTGACGTCACGAGCCGCTCGAGTGGAATGTCGTTTGAGTGAGTTTAATGCTTCTGGGGGCTTTTTTAGAAGGGCACACACATATACATTTACAACTACCACTTTGGGTTAGTCGGTCGATCTCTCTCCTCCTCTCACGCTGTCGTTCTCCTTCTGTCTCTCCCCCTCCCACTCGCCACCTCTTTTGGGTGCACTGCAATATGCGGGTGTTGTTCGCTCAGCTGATGAATCGAATAAGAAGCAGGTCTTTGGGTGATTATACACACATATAGACATGTGTGTGTGCGTGCTAGCCACTCTTATACCATTTTTGTAATGCATTTTTCGATTTCATTATTTTGTATTCCTCATGGGTTTGGGATATTGTTGCCGAGTGCTATGGTTTCGTACAATTTTAAAAAATAATCTAAAATTGTATTTGTGTACTTTCGAATGAAGCCGCAATACTGAACCACAAAAATAAATAAATAAAACCGAAACCCCAAAAAATAATAGCACAAAACAACAAACCAAGAAACATTTTATGATAAGCGGGCAAGAGCAGTCCTACACCGATAAGGCGGAATTCTCCTGCGTCCCGAGAGATTAGTATTATGTATGTTAATTGGAGAGACGACGATAGCCAAAAATAAACACAGAATTATGTGAATAATCATTTGGTACCGATACAAGAAGCCTAGCAACAATAATCTCGCTATATGTGGGGTATTTATCAGATGCATATTCAATACACATATATGTAAATATATATTATTCCTGTTTCGACTGCTCCGCACTGGCCTTTATAATATCAGTAATGAGATGAACACAAAAATTTCAATGCCATAATATATGCAGCACAGTTAATTATAATTTAGCTTCATTAGCCTTACCGTTATTCCGAGTAGAATAACTGTCGGCCGGTTCAATGTTATAATTTAACCAACGTTTCGAACGAAACATTTTGCAACGCTTTTTGTGATTTGATGTTTTTGGTTTTTTTTTTTTGAAAGGTTGTTTTTGGATATTGCTTGATTAATGCCTATTCGCTCGTGATGGAAGCCTGAAAAAGCACAGCGGCAGCATTGAGGCAAGCGTTAATGTATCTTGCAGATACAAAACCATCTTGCACTACAGCAGCAGCGGCAACACACGAGAAATATAATATAAACCGCTGAGAGCTGAGGTCGCAGTCGGGCCAAGCTTGTTGCCATTATTAATGCTATTGTTGTTGCCAGTTAGTTGTTAGTAGTATACCGTAGTATACCTTATACCGTATCTGTATCTGCGCCCGATGATGTCTTG